GTAGTGTATATATATATATATATATATATATATATATACATTAGGGATGTCTGGACAATCTTGGACATATCACCACTGATCTGATATTTCCCTCAGATCTCAGGCTTACTTTTGTTACTTTTTGAGTTTCAATAGAAATATTTTCCCTTCATTAGTTAGTTTCAATAGTAGAAATAGTTTGTTTCCTTCATTACTTATTTTTAGTTTCCTTAAATTACTTGTTTGTTCATTGGTTTTGTCTCTGTACTGTTAACAACTAGCTTCATTTGTCAGATTACTTTCTTTTATAGAAATATCTAGATCATTCATAAGATTACTTGTTTTGTTTTGAAAAAATACTAAATTATTTAATCAAATTACTGTTTTTGTAGAGACATCTATAATGTTTCCTCACATTATTATTTTTTCCAGAAGTATCTAGATTGTTTTATGAAATTTCATTTTTTAGAAACATCTAGATTCTTTCTTTAGATTATTTTTTCTAGAAGTATCTAGATTGTTTCATCAGATTATTTTTTCTAGAAATCAATAACAATTTCTGATAAGAGCAAGCTATGTATTTAGAAAGAACTACAAGTCAACTTGACAACCAGTATAGCAAATTAAATATACCTTTTTTTTTACATCTCTATTTATAAATATTAGAATGCAGACTTTCATCATGATTGTTTCTTCATATTACTTGATTTTTCTCCTTCAAGGTGATATGTATTCATGATGTCCCATCAATCTACCATGTTCCATTGCTTATGCATAATCAGGGACTTACAGAGCTTTTCATTAAAAGACTGCAGCTAAATCTTCCCGAGAAGCGACCTCGACGATTCCTGTCAAAATGGCAAGACCTTGTGGATCGAGTTGACCATTTAGTAAAAGAAGTGACGATAACTCTTGTTGGAAAGTACACCCAATTTGAAGATTCGTATGCTTCAGTGAACAAGGCCCTGCACCATGCTTCACTAACATGCAACTATAAGTTAAACCTAAATGTACGAATACTTAGTTGAACTTGAAACCCCAATGAACAAGGCCCTGCATCATGCTTCATTAACATACAACTATAAGTTAAACAGAAGTCAGACTAAGAACACCCAACATTATCTGACAACACATTTCAAACAATAGAAGTCAGACTAAGGATACATAACATTATTTTAAATCATGTTCTAACACCTTTCAAACAACAGAAATCACACTGATAATTTCCTATATCATCATCACAGTCTTATTTTTAATACCAGAGGTAAAATGTCAATTTTATTATTGCTAGTTTTCAGTGACTTCTGAAAGGTAAAGTTAACCATTTATGGATAGGAAAGGGTGACATTGATATCCCCTGATTGTTTTTCTTTCTCATAGTGAAAATAATTAAATTGAGGAAACTTGTGTGATCTTACTAACTAGTATCTATTTTTGGCTGTTAAAAAAGTTATTTTCATTTGATTTATTTATATAATTTTTTAGGCTGTGAAATTTCCAAAATGTTACAAGACATTGTTTCAAAAAATATAAATACTTAATTTTGTCATAGAAATTAAATTTATATTTATTGTTGATAAGAAACCTTCATTTTATAAATCTAGTTAGTGATTGATTTTCATCAACATACTTCATTTTGCTGATTGCATTAGTCTCCACATCCACCTATAAATCATAAAATCATGACAAAGATTTATTAGTGACCTAGGGCTTCACCTAAAAAAATATTATTTTTACATTTATAAGGATAGATATTATTATTTGTTAACAGTATCCGTGGTCAAGATTAATTTAGATTTAATAAATAGTTTCTTTCAATAAGTAATAAGTTACTTTATTGTCTTTGAATACAATACACTTAACAATAATATTCAATAACTAAAGATTTGACTCGTTTTGCCAACACCTACTGTACTTGCTAACCTAACTGTGCTTACTTGATGCCTTGTCGTAGAATACTTCTGTGGCTAAAGAACAGATATAAGTCAACACAAGAACATTTTCTTAAATGAAATGATTATCTAAAGATAGAATTCTGAGATCTGTTTTTTTTTCCTGGGTATACTGAACTTCCTATTACATTCCTATGTTCAACCATAAAAAAGCTGTGGTTATCCAATATCTTGTGTGACCACAAATTACTGCTCACATTTTTTCATCTACTTTACAATGACATAAATAGTTTGTAATATAATCTATTGAATCATGTTTAAATATTGACTATAACTGTTTTAAAGCTGAACTTCATTAATAGTTGTTCAGACCACATGTACGAATGGTGATAAAGAGCTTTAGAAATAAAACCTTGTAACAGAGAAAGAAAATCACCTGAGAAACAAGACATGAGTTATATTTTCTTGAGTTTACATTTTCATAGCATTTATAAACCTATACTTTGGGATTTAAAAAAAAATCAATACATGCATTGTTTATTGGTGAGACTTCTTGGATCTGCACAGAAATGAGAGTTGTAACTCATCTTTTTCTATCTGAATTAAACTAAGTAAATGTTAAAAATGACAAAATATCAATTCTAGAATATATTTTTGAGTTGGTACAGCAATGATTATAGAGCAAGTGTTAGAGAACTTTTCTTATGACAGAGTGCACAGTGTACATCAATAATTGTGTAGAATAATGGGTACAGCAATGTGTATAGAGCAAGTGTTACAGAAGTGTTCTTATGAAAGAGTGCACAGTGTACATCAATAATTGTGTAGAACAGTGGGTACAGCAATGTGTATAGAGCAAGTGTTAGAAAAGTGTTCTTATGACAGAGTGCACACTACATGTTGGTCATCATGCCATAAGAGTTTTTACTAGAACCTGATTCACACCTTGTCACATTAGTAGAGGTTATAGTACACTGTTTTAAAATAACTTATGCTACATCATCACATCAGTAGAGGTTATAGTACACTATTGTAAAATAACTTATGCTATCATCACATCAGTAGAGGTTATAGTACACTTTTAAAGTAACTGATCATGCTACATCATCACATCAGTAGAAGTTATAGTACACTATTGTAAAATAACTTATGCTACATTATCACATCAGTAGAGGTTATAGTACACTGTTGTATAATAACTTATCATGCTACATCATCACATCAGTAGAGGTTATAGTACACTGTTGTATAATAACTTATCATGCTACATCACCACATCCATTGAGGTTATAGTACACTGTTGTATAATAATTTGTCATGCTACATCAGCACATCAGTAGAGGTTATAGTACACTGTTGTATAATAATTTGTCATGCTACATCACCACATCCATTGATGTTATAGTACACTGTTGTATAATAATTTGTCATGCTACATCACCACATCCATTAAGGTTATAGTACACTGTTGTATAATAATTTGTCATGCTACATCACCACATCCATTAAGGTTATAGTACACTGTTGTATAATAATTTGTCATGCTACATCACCACATCAGTAGAGGTTATAGTACACTATTGTAAAATAACTTATGCTACATTATCACATCAGTAGAGGTTATAGTACACTGTTGTATAATAACTTATCATGCTACATCACCACATCCATTGAGGTTATAGTACACTGTTGTATAATAATTTGTCATGCTACATCACCACATCCATTAAGGTTATAGTACACTGTTGTATAATAATTTGTCATGCTACATCACCACATCCATTGAGGTTATAGTACACTGTTGTATAATAACTTTTATTATGAATGAAGTTTTATCTTGCTTGTAGTATATTGAAGCAACTGACCTAGAAGCCAGAATGCAAGAAGAAAATCCTGTGCAATTTCATGAAGCTTGGCAGCAATTGTGCAAATCAGAGTAAGAATCAACATATATTGATGTTATAGTCAGTTATCTAGTTTCCAGTAGCATTTGGCTGGCAGTGAATTTCCTGGGCATAAATTCAGTTGTATTCTTGAAACACAATTTTATTTTATATAATTAATTTGTGTAACTTCAGTTATATTTATAAAGATAATTTTACTTTATACAATATCTTTTTACTGTGGCAACTTCTAGAAATGATCTGTGAACAGTCTTATCCTTGTTGAAAAACAGTAATTAGAAGGCAGCAGAATTTCCTCTTATTTTGTGTTTTACTTTTATTTATGCTGATGATTTTTTATTTCTATCTTATGAAAATACTTTAAACATTTTTCACATGAAATTATCCGTTTTTATAGTGGCTTGCTAGTTCCCGGAGGTTTTGGTATCCGTGGAATTGAAGGAAGTAACTGCCATTGATGGCAAGAAGGAAATAAAAACCTTATTTAGGTTTGTTAAGTAGGGTTAACATTGAAAGTTATTCCTAGTTTTGTAGGTTTGTTAAGTAAGATTATTATTAAAAGTTATACTTCCTCCTACTAAGTTTCTTAAGTACGATTAACATTGAAAGTTATACCTAGTTTTTTGTAGGTTTGTTAAGTATGATTAACAGTGAAAGTTATTCCTCCTTCTACTTGGGTTTGTAAAGTAGGGTTAATGTTGAAATTTATTCTTTATCTTACTTAGGTTTGTTAAATAGGATTAACATATTGTTATTTTTAATTTGTTATGTTACTTTGCATGTAATGTTTTGATAAAAGAAATGAAGACAACATGTAGTACTCAATACTCAAATTCCTTTATTGAATTATTAATTTAAAAAAAAAATACTTTATTAGGAATTTTGATTTTTTTCTGTACAAAAGACAGTGTTTACTGAAAGCTTGCCAAATTTCATGAAGATACATAATTCATATCTTATCAGACGATGTATTGATACAATTGTATCATGGCTTCATTGTATCACCACACCTTTAGTATATAGTAATAATATATATCTGTATATATATACCATATCCAAACTGGATATTGGTGACCATGGTCTTCCACAGATCTCTTCTCCTTCAAGCACAAAGAATTTCTTATGTCAATAAATTCATCCATGTACAAAATGATGAAACCTTATAACCTGAGCACTTTCAAAAGATGGACCTTTCTTCTTCAGGGGCAAACTGGGAATGATGGTGTAATCGAATGAGTGATATGTAAAGGGAGTTGAGTGATGTCATGAAGGTCATTTGGTCTTTCAGGAAATGTTTAGTATATTTTTCCATGTACTATTGTGTGTTTTATTTCCGATACCATATGGCTGGTGATGAGAGTGTTATGTAAAAAGGTGTTAGGGATGTTGTGCTTTAGAAATGGTTAAGAAAGAATGAAATGAAACTATACTTGTGTTTAAGTGTAATATAGGTGACACCTGAAGACTGACTGAAAAAGAGATGTTTAGCTAATTAGTTTATACAAATAGGTATGGAAAATTATCTTAAATAAATGGTAAATTTTATAAAATTTGAGCTCACGCTGTATGAAAGAAATAAGCAAAGAATTAAAATAATTTTTCTGACAGAGATTGAGATCACTGATTTCAGGATCGAGATTGATTCCAAAGTTTGAACAGTGTTTAGATTAGCAATCCAGTAAGCTTCACCTTTTGAAAGTGCTCAGGTTATAGGGTTTTTATCATTTTGTATCAAGACTTCTTGTACCAACGTGTTTTTCTGACATTCATCTATTTAGATAGACTCTTGACATAAGTCAAACTCTGCCTTCCACAGTCTATCTTTCTTTCAGGATTTCTAGTTATGATCAGACTTTCAATTTCTTCTTTCCTCATAATATGCCCAAGAAATGTCTCTTTTTTTTTTATGTTAATCAGCAGCTGTCTCTTGCAACCTGCTCTCGACAAAATATCTTCATTTGAGGTGCGACTTTTCCAACATACATCTTCAAGATGTGCCTTAAGAACAACAATTCAATTGCTTCAATTTTTTTTTTCCATACTTAACAATATTTTCCAACATTCTGATGCATATGTGAGAATTGGTATAACATAACAATCCAAAACTCTTTAGCCATCCATATTCTTCATTTTATTTCATGATCACATTTACCATCTGATGTTATCCTGCTTCCCAAGTAGTTGAATTTATTAAATAATACATATATACATATTATACCAAAACATTCTGACCATCATAGAGGATAACTAACATCCAAATTTATTGGATCAACCCAAATTTTGTAGAGCCATATCACAAGCATTTTCTCACACTTTTATTACTTTCAGCAATTCTCCTTGCAACCACTGTATTGTAAACAAGCCGATAAATCATCTTCCATTCTTTTCTCAGAGCCAGGATTACAATAAAATTTGTAGAAATCTGGGCTTATTGTAGCTACACATGCTTGTTTGCTACTGACAGTGTCATATTATTGGGTCACATAAAGAGTATCATGGTAGTAATGGTGATTCATTGCTTTATGTTCGGCAGGTTTCTACTTCAGCCACTAACAGTAAAATAAACATAGGAAACTCTCAGGAAATGTACTTGGAAACTTTTTTGGTCAATACTAAAAAGGATAGAACAGTACTATGCATTTTATTTCATACTTTTGTTATGGTAGTTACAAATTCAGTCAAAATGACCAAATGCATAGAGTTAGGGTAGAGAAAATAATAGATAAAATATAAAGTTTTAGTGGAAAAAGAACATTTGGTATTTGTTTAGAAGGTTTTAGAGATATGCAAATGAAATTTGATAATTTTCAGATGAAAAAAAGTATTTCTAATCTTAAATTGAAAATCACTTTGCACTTGGAGCAGTCTGACTCCATGTAGTCGCAGACAAAAGTTTAGTAAAAAATACTTAATTCAAAAGACTTGTAATGTTTACCAAAAAGTTAAAATTCATGAAGATACACAAAACATGTTAAAAGTTATAGTATGGAAACTGATGGTCACGTGGTAAGTGTAATCTACAGAAGCAATAGAGAAACTGTCAAGTTTCTTAAGAAGGATTAATGTTTAAAGATAGAAAAATATTCGTCTTAAGTTTGTTAAGGAGGATTAACATTGATGTTATTCTTTGTTTGACTTGTGTTTCTTATTAATTAATTTAGTTATTCCTCTAAGGTTTGTAAATTAGGATTAATGTTTAAATATCAAAAATTATTCCTTTTAAGTTTGTCAAGTAGGATTAACATTGAAAGTTCTTTGTTTTCTCTTCTCATTTCTCTTCTGAACTTAATTTCTTGTTTTGTACATTTTTGAAAGATTTTGTGATAATGTGGTGTTATTTTGCAGTAGTTTTCTAACAAATATTTAACCACTTTTAGACAATTCTTACGTATTAATTCCATAAATTTGCTTTAAATTGTAAAAGCAAATGTAAATTTTATGCTTGAGCAACAAATTTTTTTGTTTTTTTTTCTTATTCTCTAACATTTTATGATCTTGATCAAACAAAGTTTTTTCATTTGTGGATGCAATTTCATCTTTCTTCAGGTGTTTGTCTTGGCTTTCAATGTGCGGTGATAGAATTTGCTCGCAATGTCCTGGGTTGGAAAGATGCTAATTCCACTGAGGTTAACCCTGACACTCCTTATCCTGTGGTATGTGAACACTGTAAAGTGCTTGAGTTGAATACATCTGAATTAATAAGTCAAGGACAATGAAGAGACATCAGCTGCCAATCAAATTCATGATTACAACAGGGAACAGAAAAAAAAAGACATTGATGAAAATTAAACCTAAATTTAAAAAAAAGAATACTATATTAAACTTTAGAAGATATGGGTAATATAATTATTATAATCAATGTTTGTCATTAGGAGGTTGTTTCGTTAAGGAGTCCCTGGATGATATTTCTACAGCAATAAAACGATTTAGGGTATGATTAAGAAATATTTAGAACTAGTTGTGTATCTAAGTTTCAAATGGACAGCAGCTGCCTATTGTAGAAACCTACAAATGTAGAGGACGACATTTCAAAAGTCTGCCTTTCATCTGAAAGTGCTGTCCATTTGAAACTTAGATTCATTATGAATACTCTACCTAAACAACCTATCAAAGATTAGTTGTGTATCAGTTTAATTGTGTTTGGATTATCTTTGTGGACTTGCATATGAAACATGAATCTCTGTTTTAGCATAACTTCAAAGAAAGTGGTTTAATGTTTTGACAAGGACCTGTATATGTTGAATATTTCATGTTTGTGTAAAACATGTAAAGTGCAGGGTGCCATTATAATGTTATAAATTACTTTTTTTGTTGATGTTTTTTGTTTAATTATTAAGGTTATTGATATGCCAGAACACAATCCTGGTCACATGGGAGGAACAATGCGTCTGGGTAAACGTCAGACTGTTTTTCAATCTGGTGATAGTGTGTTGTGTAAGTTACCATAAGCTCTAATTTTAATGAAGATTTAAAATATGAGGTTTCTATATTTCACTAACATGTATTTTTGAAGCTCCTTTTCTTCAACTGGAT